CCCGGGGTGCATCGTGGCCGGCCCGCTCTGCTAGATCGACCTCGCACGGCCTCTGCGGCCCGCGGGGCGTCGGAAAGGCAAGAAAAAACCTGGATCAGCGCAGTTTTGTCGTCGACGTGGTCGTGGTCGTGGCCATCATCGACGTCGTCGATGGCCGTCGCCCGCAATGCAGGATCAAATCGCACGAGGACGGGACGGCGGATCGGATCAGAACATGCGTCGGATCCGGCTGCATCGACACGGGATCGAGATCACACACGGAATCGGCTGCGTCGGGATGCGCAACGGCGCCATGCAAGCCTCGGGGCGCGCAGGCGAGCTGGAGCACGGTCGGGAACTTCTGCTTGGCGTGTCGTGGCGGCGGCCCGGGGGCACGCTGCCCTCTGCGAGCGGATGGCGTGTCGCTGCGCCCCGCGGGACGGGATGCTGCGGAACGCTCGGGACGCTGACGCCATGAAGCCAGGAAGTGGATGGCGCGTGGGTGCCGAAGCGAGGTGGGCCAGAACTGGCGGAGGGATACGCTGAGCCAAAGCTCCTAAACGTACAGCGCACAGGGCGGGGCGAATTCGACAGCGACTCGGACCGATGGCATCGAACGTGGGCCCTGCAGGGCGGCGCTCGGTGCGCCTGGATCGCAGCGTCGGCGGTGAACGAGTCGTGGAAATCGCAGAAGGCGTACCCCTTGTGGGCGCCCGTATCCTCCGCGGCGACGGCGACGATGACGCCGACGGACGGCGGCGATGTCCACGGCGGACGACGGCGACGACGACGCCGAACACAACGACGACGGCAATGACGACGACGACGACGACGCGGACAACGACAAAGACGGGCGATGGCGACAGCCACAGTGACGACAACGGCGACGGCGACGGCAACGACGACGAGCATGACGACGACGATGACGACGACGACGACGACGGCTGCGACGACGACTGACGGTGGCGGCGACGTCAGCGGCGACTCACGACGGCAGATGCCTAGTGTCGATCGTGGCGACGGCTGCGATGACGGCTGACGTCGGCTTGGCGGCTGCGACTGACGGCGAAAACTCTTGGCCCGCCCTGAAGACCTCCTGGCTCTGGAGCTCCACTGGAGACCTCCTCTGGCGACGTCCAGTGAAGACTCCATGGGAGCACGACGGCGAGAACGACGATGGTGAGGACACGTCGGTGACGACGGCAACGACGACGGACCACGGACCACGGACGACGCTGACGGCGGCGGCGACCAGGGCGACGACCACGGCGACAAGGAAGATGAAGGCGACGGTGGCGGCAGCGTAGCGGGGAAGAGGAGGAGGAGAAGGAGGAGGAGGAGGAGGACGACGACGACGGCGACGACCACCGCGACAGCGACGTCCAAGGCATCCTTGTCGCGGACAAGCCTCATGCTCTTCACCAGCCCGACGTTTTCCAGGCGCTCCCGTAGCTCCTCCTCGGTCGCCTCGAGGGAGCTAGGACGAGGACCAGGGAACAAGGCTGAGGAGAGAGTAGCGTCTGGTTGGCCTGGGCGGTTGAGGAGAAGGCGGAGAAGGAGGAGAAGAGGGAGAAACGGATGAGGGGGAGGAGGAGGAGGAGGAGGAGGAGGAGGAGGAGGAGGAGAGAAGGAGGAGGAGGAGGAGCAGGCGGTTCGAGGAAGGAGAAGGCGGAGGAAAGCCCGTGGGAGGGGATCGAGCTGAGGCTAAAGAAGCCTCCTCCTCCTCATCCTCCTTCTCCTCCCCCTCGCGATCACCATTGTCGCCATTGTCACCCGGCGCCACCATTGTCACCCGATTTCCATGGCTCGTCATCGCCACCATCATCATCATCACCCAGCGCCTCGTAGACGATGTTGGCTATGAAGACGCTGCACTTCTTGGGGTCCTCCTTCTTCTCGTAGATCTTCTCGACGGTGAGGGAAGTTCTGTTGTTGAGAACGTGGACAGCCTTCTCCGGGAGAAGGAGTAGGAGGAGGAGGCGGAGGAGAAGGACGAGGAGGACGAGGAGTAGGACGAGAAGAAAGAGTGGATAGGAGGTTGAGGAGGAGGATGAGAGGATGTTGAATAAGTAATGGTCGGGAGAATACGGTGAGGATGAGAAGAAAGAAGAGGTACAACGTAAATACATGAGAGGTCATGTTTCTTGAAGATGGCGGATCTGTCTTGAGTAACTGCGAAGCTGTCACACATCCAACAAAGGCGCCTGCGCAACAATCCAGTTTCCTGAGCAGCTCAAAGAAGGTGCACGCGATGGCTGCAGAGAAACGTTGTTGCTGGAGCCTGCTGCTGCAGCGCTGGATTACCAGAGATACTCGCTGTGTCCGAGTGTCCATAAGTGCGGCTGGTGCCTTGGTGATCTGACAGCACGGTGCAATCAAACTCAACGCGTTCAAATCCGCAATTGCACATCACTCGTGTGTACTTTTCCATCGTGGCTGCGACGCGGCCACACCTCCAGCGAAGGACCCAGGGCCGGACGCCCCGCAGGAGCAGGAGCGAGGCAGCTTTCCGAGGAACCCACCGCACCATCGAGGTCCTCGGTGCACCCAGATCGCCAAATGTCCTCCCCCCCCCCCGCTTGGGGCATCCCAGAGGCCCAACACATAAAAAGGGTCAACAACCTTTGACCTCGATTCTCGATCCCCAGACATCCGACGGCGTGATCCTTCCATCCGCGGCCCCGACATTCCGGGCCCCTTCCCGGAGGGCGCTGCTATGCCCAAACTCCCTCTCTCCGACGGTCCCGGGGCCCCGAGGGCAGCCCCTGGAGGACGAGATGAAGGAGAAGCCGCCGGGACTGACATCCAAACATCTCGGACCTCGTGGTCCTCGAGGCCCGATCCTCTTCGTGGCGACCGCCGGGCGGCCTTCAGGCTGGACGCGGGCTTGTCGAACTCCGCCACGGCACTCAGCCCGTCGGGGGACAGCTCGGGCGGCGCCACCAGAGTGCCGAAGGGCACGAGCTCCTCGGGCAGGGGGCCGGGCGAGGAGGACGTGGAGGAGGAGGAGGAGGAGGAGGAGGAGGAGGAGGAGGAGGAGGAGGAGGAGGAGGAGGAGGAGGAGGGGGAGAAAAGGGGAGGAGCGGGAAGGGAAGCCGAGAGGAAGGGCAGGAAGGGAAGGGAGGGGGAGGACGCGGGGGACGAGGAGGAAGAGGGCAGCGAGGAGGAGGAGAAGGCGGCGGAGGAGAATGAGGAGCGAGGAACGAGAATGAGGGAGAATGGAATGTAGCGGAGGTCGGAGGGAATAGGAGGAGAAGAAAGAGAAATGGAAGGAGGAGAAGGAGGAGGACAAGGAAGGACGAGGGGAAGGACGAGTAGGATGAGCAGCAGCAGCAGCAGCAGCAGAACGAGGACAAGGAGAAACATCATAAAAATAGCTGATTGGGAAGATGAGAAAAAAAAAGGTGATGCGATGCTGATGAGTAAAAGCAGCAGGGGAGGGGAAGGTGAGGGGAAGAACACGGAGGGAGAGGGAGGATCAGGATGAGCAAGATACTCACTATGATAATCATGAGTACACCGACACTGATCAGAAGGATGGGGATGAAGCCGTTAAGGACGATTAGGACAAGGAGTGTTTAAAAAGGATGAGAAGGAAAAGGAGTAAAAAGGGGGGCAATGAAGAAACGGACAACGAATGGGAGGCCTGGGGCGGTGAGGAGGGAGAGGAGAAGGATCCGGGGAGATAAAGGAAGGGGGGGGCCAGGAGGAGGAGGAGGAGGAGGAGGAGGAGGAGGACGAGGAGGCGGAGAAGGGTGCTTGTGGAGAAGCGGGATGGGAAAGGGAAACGAGAGGGGGGAGACGGACGAGCAGGGGGGGGGCCGTGGAGGAAGGCGAGGAGGGCGAGGCGGGACAGGAAGGGAAAGACGGATGAACAGAGGGACAACAGGCGCACCGGGAAGAGCAACGAGGCGAGGACGGAGAAGAATCAAGACAGAAGGGGGCGGGAGGTGACGAAGGAGGAACGATGGCGGAGACTGAGGATGATGCGGAGGCGGATGAATGTGGACGATAAGGAGGAGAGGAAAAGAAACATGGAGCATGAATTGGCCTGGTTCTTGCGACCCAGGTCCAGAACAAAAAAAAAAAGGCGATGACACACAGGATGCGATAGCTGTGGGCAGCAAACCTCCCGAGCCGCTCGATCCGGCGGGCACGCGTACGGCACGGCACTGGCCCACTGGTCGTTTTCAAACAGCTGAGCACGAACGCAGTCATGACAGGGAGGCCCGGAGCCCAACTCAACGCCAATTACATGAGGACGATCGCCACGATCATCCGCAGCGCCCTGAGCAGAGAAGCGTGCCCGACGGACAACATGATGGGCTTCACGACGAGCATCAGCCGGGGCCTGGGGACCAGCGCCAATGCACGGCAACACGACACCCAGCAGCAGCAGCAGCTCGAGGACAGGGCGCGGATCGACGATGAACCCGATCACAACGGGCAGGGGCAGGATCGAGGCGCACAGCAGTGGGAGTCACCACGAGCGCCGTGCTCCTCTTTGCCAATGCGGGGCGGCCGAGCGCCACCACCAGGATGCCCCGCACCAACCTGCCGAACAGCTTGGAAGCCCCCCTCAACATCTCCGGGGCCAGCGCCGCCACGCAGCTGCTCGGCGAAGGCGGCGCCAACGCCAGGACGGCTGACAGCCGCGGGGGTCGAGCGCGCCAAAGCAGCGCAGCGGGCGCTGCACTGCGCGCGCAGGCGCCCAGTTGCTCTGAGCGCGGCGCGGCCTACCACGGCCACCCGCGGCGGAGGAGCCATGGGGGCTGGGAGGGAGCGGGCAGCGGCTGGAGGGCCGCCTGGCGCTGGCTCGCGGAATCTCGGCGCGGGAGCCGACCGGAGCCAGCGCTGGCCAGGGAAGGAGGAGGAGGAGGAGGAGGAGGAGGAGGAGGAAGAGGAGGAGGAGGAGGGGACGAGGATTTACGAACACTTGAGCAACGACGCTCAAGTTCGCCTATCATCAGAAGGGGACGAGGGCGAGGACGAGGTGGGCGGCGGATGATGCGAATAAGGGG